AGTACGAGATTGAAAAATTCAATGGGAAAAATGATTTTTCTTATTGGAGAATGCAGATGAAGAACTCGTTGATTTCGCAGAAATTGCACAAAGCTTTGGCGGGAAAAGAGAAGAAGCACAAGGATATGTCTGATGAGGATTGGGAGGAGCTGGATCTGGAAGCACGGGCGTCGATTATCCTTTGCCTTGAAAGGGATGTAGCTTTCTTGGTAGATGGAGAGGAAACGGCTGCGGGCGTGTGGTCAAAGTTAGAAAGCACCTTCATGACGAAGAGTCTAACAAACCGGATCTATTTGAAATCCAAATTGTATACTTGCAAGATGGAGGAGGGCTCATCAATCCGGGAATATATCAACAAGTTCGATAGGATTATATCGGATCTGAAGGACATCGATGTGACTGTAGAAGACGAGGATCAGGCGCTTCTACTACTTCTATCTTTGCCGAAGTCTTATGAGAACCTGGTGCAAACACTGATGCTTATGGGAGACAATTTGACGATGGATGAGACTAGAACGGCGCTTCTTGCGGATGACCTTCGAAAGATTGCAACCAGTGACATGACTACTGGTGGTAAAAAAGAACAAGCGCAGGGATTGTTTGCTAGAGGAAGGAGCAATGAGCGAGGAAAAGGCAAGGGAGGAAAGTCTAGATCTAAATCGAGACCCCTTGCGGGACGAGCGTGCTTCAAATACGGTGAAGTTGGGCATTTCAAGGTCGACTGCCCTAATAAGAGAGTAGGTGGGAAAAAGAACAACAACAAGACCGAGATAAGAGAAGGCAAGGAAGAGGCGAGTTACGTATCGGAGGAAGGAAGCGATAAAGAATGCTATGTTGTTACGGGTAGCGAGGATACCTCCGGGAAGTGGATTCTTGATTCTGGTTGCTCTTATCATATGTGTCCAAATAGGAAGTGGTTTACTACCTACAAGAGCATTGATGATGGAACCGTATTGATGGGAAACAACCATGCTTGTAAAACGGTAGGGCTAGGTGATATCAAAATCAAGATGTATGATGGAGTGGTTCAAACTCTAACGGACATGCAGCACGTTCCCGACTTGCGGAAGAATCTTATCTCAGTGGGTGCATTGGACTCCGATGGCTGCAAGATTGTTACAGAGAACGGAGTGAAGAAGGTTGTTCGAGGTTCCCTAACAGTGATGAAGGGTGTTCGTCACGATAATCTATATACTCTCTCGGGTACGACGGTGATAGGAGATGCAGCGGTTGGAACTGAAGGAAGTGGTGGAGACCCATGTGAACACATACGGTTATGACATAGGCGGCTTGGGCACATGTCAGAGAAGGGTCTAGTTCTGCTTGGTAAGGAGGGTTTGCTGAAGAATCTGAAGAAGCCTTGCATGGATTTTTGTGAGAATTGTGTGTATGGAAAGGCGCACAGGGTCCAAGTCTTGAAAAACAATCACAAGAGCAGAGGTATACTAGATTATGTGCACACGGATGTTTGGGGTCCGACTCAGACAACTTCCAAGGGTGGTTCCAGGTATTTTGTCTCGTTCATAGACGATTATTCTAGGTATGCTTGGATTTATTTTCTTAAGCATAAGAATGAGGTATTCGAGACATTCAAGAAGTGGAAAGCAATGGTTGAGAACAGGACGGGCAAGAAATTGAAGACACTAAGATCTGACAACGGTACAGAGTTTACAGATGGTGCTTTCAAGAAGTTCTGTGATCAAGAGGGCATTGTTCGACACTGGACAGTCAGGTCAACACCACAGCAGAACGGGGTCGCTGAGAGACTGAACCGAATATTGCGGGAGAAGGCAATGAGTATGCGATCTTATGCTGGATTGGGCAACGAATGGTGGGCAGAAGCGGTGGCTACAGCATGTTACATTGTGAACCGTTCTCCACATTCGACATTGGATGGTGATACACCCTATAAGGTGTGGTCAGGGGAACATGCGGATTATGAGAGACTCAGAATTTTCAGATGTACCGCCTATTATCACGTCAACGAGGGAAAGCTTGACGCGAGGGCCAAGAAGGTGATATTCTTGGGGGTATGCAAAGGGCGTAAAAGGCTACCGCCTTTGGTGTACAGAAGATTCGAAGTTCGTGATCAGCAGGGACGTTACCTTTGATGAAAAATCCATGATTGCTAGGGCACCCAAGAATGATGGTGTTGGGACTGTTGGGACTTCAAAGTCCCAGGTTATTGAGATAGAACCTAAGGACCAACCAAGTTCTAGTCATGTTCAAGTAGAAAATCAGGTAGATGATGAGCTTGAGCAGGAAGAGGTTCAACAGGAGAATACACAAGCACTACAACAACAGCAGCTCAAGGATACTTTGGCTTCCACTAGGCCAAAGCGAGCATACAAGCAGGTACAAAAGCTGGGGGCTGATCAACCCCTGAAGTACTATGAACAAGTTAATTTGGTTGAATACGCACTCTCGGTGGAGAAAGATGAGCCGGTCTCCTTCAAGGAAGCTATTCGGGATAAAGATAGTGAGAGTTGGTTGGCTGCGATGGAGGAGGAGATGGAATCTCTTCGGAAGAATCAAACATGGGAGGTGATCCCATTGCCCGTAGGAAGAAAAGCTATTGGTTGTAAGTGAGTGTATTAGAGAAAGGAAGATCCTTCAGAGCTCAGTGGTACAAGGTATAAGGCGAGGCTAGTGGCTAAAGGATTTGCACAAAGAGAGGGTGTGAATTACAATGAGATCTTTTCTCCGATGGTGAAACACACTTCTATTCGGGTGCTATTGAGTATTGTTGCTCATGGCAATATTGAGCTGGAACAACTCGATGTTAAAACGGCCTTCTTGCACGGAGACTTGGATGAAGAGATCTATATGCATCAACCTGAGGGCTACAAGGTTGAGGATAAGGAGCATCATGTATGTCGCTTGAGGAAGTCACTCTATGGACTAAAGCAATCTTCTCGGCAGTGGTACAAACGATTTGACTCCTTCATACTAAAGCATGGGTTTTCCCGAAGCGATTACGATTGTTGTGTTTACATTCGAAAGATTCGTGGAGGTGATTATATCTATCTTCTTTTGTATGTGGATGACATGCTTATTGCTTCGAAGAGTAGGGTGGAGATAGATAGGTTAAAATCTCAACTTGATAAAGAGTTCGAGATGAAGGACATGGGCGCTGCTAGAAAAATACTGGGTATGGAGATCAGAAGAGAGCAGGCGAATCGGCGATTGTTCTTGAGTCAGAAGGACTATATAGAGCGGGTGATCGTGAGGTTCGGGATGCAAAGTGCTAAGTCGGTGACGACTCCATTGGCTTCACACTTCAGGCTTTCAGGTAAACAATCTCCCACTACAGCGGAAGATAAGGCACATATGAAGCGTGTTCCTTATGCTAGTGTAGTTGGCAGTTTGATGTACGCTATGGTGTGTACACGTCCAGATATTTCACAGGCGATTAGTGCGGTCAGCAGATTCATGGCGAATCCGGGAAAGGCGCACTGGGAAGCGGTGAAATGGGTCCTGAGGTACTTGAAAGGTACCGCGGATACGGGTCTGTGTTTTGGTGGAGATACATGTCAGATTGATGAGTTTGTTGACTCTGATTATGCGGGTGATCTAGATAGACGGCGATCTACTACTGGTTATGTATTCAGGATACATGGAGCTCCAGTTAGTTGGCGATCGATGTTGCAGTCTACAGTGGCACTTTCTACTACAGAGGCCGAGTACATGGCCATGGCTGAGGGAGTGAAGGAAGCATTGTGGTTGTGGGGTCTTCTAGACGATTTGGGAATTGAGCAGGAGAACGTGAACTTGTGGTGCGACAGTCAAAGTGCGATTCACTTGGCGAAGAATCAAGTTCATCATGCTCGTACCAAGCATATCGATGTCAGGTATCATTTTGTGCGGGATGTCATAGAGGAATGTGATATTTCTCTCATGAAGGTGCACACGAATGAGAATCCCACAGACATGTTAACCAAGGTGATCACAGGTAGCAAGTTTAAGCATTGTTTGGACTTGCTTCATATCAACCCATGTTGATTTGCCCAAGAGGGCATGGCCCTTCGGGGCAGTGTTGGGGTGAGGTGGAGACTATGGAGAACAATAGTAGAACTACGGTTAGCTTGATCCCGGTGGAGGGTACGTAGGCAGCCGCGATAAAATGGCGCAGCTGATTTGGCCTGGTTTGGTCGATTTCAGATCTCTAGTGATATTCGCGGTGTTCTTCTGGTGTTCGTCCAAAATTTAAGGTTTATCAAATGATGTACGAGGTGGAGAATTGTGAACAACGGCAGCGTGGGGGTCAATCAATTCACGCGGAAAGAAGAAGTGGGGGCCACACATGTGAGAAGAGTCCAGCGGGTAAATTTGTGCAGATAGCCAAGGTCCAACAGGTTTCTTCACCGGCCCACCAAAACTATTATAAATATGCATGTTTACATAGGGTTTTGAGTGTGGGAGAAAAGTTGTTGTGGGAAAAGACTGCGGAAAAGAAAAACGCAGAGGAGAGGTTTAGCCGGCTGTTAAGGAGAAAAACAGAGAATTAAAGAGAGAGATTTTGAGAAGAGAAAAAGAGGGATTTACAAAAGAGAGGTTAATTTTTCTTTTGGGTAAAAATTAGAACACCGACGACTTGTACAATCCACAAGCTCGTCTCAAAGAAAAAGATCTAATTTTTACCCAAAAGAAATTAACCTCTCTTTTGTAAATCTCTCTTTTTCTCTCCTCAAAATCTCTCTCTTTAATTCTCTGTTTTTCTCCTTAACAGCCGGCTAAACCTCTCCTCTGCGTTTTTCTTTTCCGCCGTCTTTTCCCACAACAACTTTTCTCCCACACTCAAAACCCTATGTAAACATGCATATTTATAATAGTTTTGGTGGGCCGGTGAAGAAACCTGTTGGACCTTGGCTATCTGCACAAATTTACCCGCTGGACTCTTCTCACATGCGTGGCCCCAACTTCTTCTTTCCGCGTGAATTGATTGACCCCCACGCTGCCGTTGTTCACAGTCTTGCTACCTATGAGCATATCATTTCCACGGTTCATTTTAATTTGTACAAAACTTCGTGTATTACAGTTCATGAGGAATATAATGATAAAAATTTACATGTAGTCTTCTACTCTCTTAAAAACACATTAAAAAAATCACACAAATTTATTTCTGACTGCACCGCCGAGGGCGAAGATCATAACTTTTTGCAATCAAGGCTGTAGCCTTAAAATTTTCTGCAACTTCCTCAGGATAGTAACTAGGATCTTCATTGATGTCTACATCTTCTGGCAACTCCTCATCAATCCATGAATAGTGACTCCAACTATCATCATCGTCGCCATCCATAACCATAGACAAGGACTTCATTCCTACATATTACAAAAGTCCAAATTATTACATTCAAAATATATGTAAAAATGATAGAAGAAAATTTAAATTAATGATGAAAGATATTTACCCGAGTTTTTCTCTAGCATGCAGACCTTTTCCATTAATGTTTGTAGCAATTGATGGCTCATTATTTCGTAATCTCTGTAAAGTAAGTAAAACGAATATAAGAAAGAATTGACATACATAAAACTAATATACATATATAAGTAGAATTTTTACCTATACGTAAAGATAGAATGTAGAATTTGGATCGAAGCAACAACTAGAAAAGTAGATCTTGCAAGCCAAATTTTCTCAATTATCACATCACTGGTTTTGTATTTAATGATTGCCATCTCGAGCAACAATGTGATGCAAAGACCTGCATAATCGTAAAAATTAGTCAGTTATTGTTATTTAAAAATAGCCCAGATAAAGAAATTATACAGAGGGTAAGCACAACAAATTTACCTAAATAAAGATGCACTCTTTTATGAAAAGTCTGTTTAGCACTTGTCAGCATATATAGAAGAATGATAATACATGAGTAGAAGAAAAATGCTTTGATAAATCTGGATTCATCCAAGATAGCTTTGTATAACGCATATAGCTTTTCAAGCATACTGAAAATGTCTGACTGTTTCAATTCAAACTCCCTCTGCAATAAAAAAAATTAAATCAGATTAGACTTATGTATCAGAAAATGAGAACCATAAAAGATGACAGCATGATAGAAAACCTGAGCTTCTAATATAGCCTGTGAAGTTTCATACAGATGGTCGTGAGTTTTTTGGATTTCTCCTTGTCGTCGTATTAATTCCTCATGCTGTTTGTGGCCGTACTCTGAAAATTTTTCCAAAGTGTCCCTAAACATAATTAAAAATAACAGAAATCAAATACAACATAAATCAGAAAACTTTGTTATGATATTGATATCACACTATATACCTGCTTTCTTTGATAGCTTCAGACTGAAACTTCTTTAACGCATCAAGGCCTTCAAGAGCATCATTCTGTCCTTCTAGAAGTTCCATCTGCTTCATCAATGATGATCCTGCAACGCTCTCGATATTATTCGCAGTACCCTGAAGATTTTGCATTTTCGACACCATAGAATCACCGACCTCTTTAATCTCCGTCTCAATTTTGACAGTTTCTTTCATCAAGTTATTCATTTCATTCCCTAAACTCTTATAGGATTTCTCCAAAAAATCTATGCCTAATTTTACTGCATCTATCATCTCTGATTGTGATTCCTTTAGTTCCAATTGGGTTTCTGTAATGCGCTTTGATTGTTGAAATATGGCTTGAGAGTTTTCTAATACATCATCAATCTGAGATTTGGCATCTTTGGATGTTTGGACTAATTGTTCTGTTTCTTCGTGTATTGAAGATAAGGAATCATGGATTTGGTTTGAGTCTTGTAAAAGTTGGTCGGATTTTTCGTTGATGATGTCCAGCTTGTCTTCTGCATAATGTGCTGATTTTGCTAGTTCATTGACCAATCTCTCCGTTTCATGTTTGAATGATTCACTCCTGCAGGAAGAAATAAAATCATTATGTCTGACATAAATGACCATAACTGGTTAATAGATTTGCTGGATAAATACTGAAGTCTTAAATACATAGACAAGTTCTTGATTGGGTAAATATTCAGAATACTGAATTTGAAAAAGGAAACACAAAGGAGGGTAATGTTCATTTCAATTGGGAAAATATAAGAATTAAAACCAATTTAGAAAGGAAAATAGCTTAATATCTGTCCATTGACTAAACTAAAGAAGGTAGAAACAACGGTAATAAAAAACAGTAAAAATATTAAATAACACCATAAATACATTTAAACAACACTATAAATACATTCTAAATACAAGGGCACTAGGATAAACAAGGACAATCTTAAGAAATAACCTGCAGTGATAAATAGGAACTAAAAAAGAAAGGCCACATAGATCGACAACCTACTAAAGCTACATGAATAAATTCATAATATTTAGCAACTACGTTATGTCAGAGGGTACATGAATAACGAAAAAAAGGAAAAGGGACATGAATGAATAATATGTTACACATTATATATCATCAGATTTTCAGACCACCTCTTGGACAGATTTCCACTATGAATTGCCATTCAACAAGAAGAAGAAAAAAACGTTGCATTTTTTATATAAAACAATAAAGAATTAGCTGTAACAATTTCCTATTTCGAAAATTGTTTTTTTTAGAGGTAACCAAACTAATTCCTGAAATATATATATCGAAAACTACTGAAAGCATAAAAGTCCTACGCAATGACTTACTGTAACTGGTGACATATTGCATTAGTCTCCATGAAAAACTCAAGAAAAACCTTATGCTCTCCATCATTCAACCTCTTCAAACACTGCAGCATAGAACTCTCCTTCTTGCAACCCGGGAACGCCGGCCGACCCGATTCAATCTGGAAGCAATCACTGAGCATCCAAGCCAACCTCCTCTTCCTCTCCTCATCGGACAACACCGCCGAACAACTCTCAAACAGGGCCCTGTATGAACTCTGCCAACAAGTGTTCGCCATCACCATCTTCCTCTTGGCATCCTCCACTATTTTTAGCCCCCTTTCGCCCGAAAACCCCTGCGATATTGAGAATTCAGCGGGCTTGGGGTTGTTGTTTGAGGGGGGAGGAGATGAAGACCACCAGAGGCTTTCAGTGGGTTTGAGAGAGGAACAGAGGAGGAGGAGGAGGAGGAGGGAGAGAGAGAGGTTGAGATTGGCCATTGATGAGTTGGGTCTGCAGAAAATCGTCGTAAGTGGAACAAATTGATTGAAACTGAGAGAATTGTTGGTAAATTAAGTAGGAATTGAAGGTAGATAACTGATTCTCAAAAGGAGGGAACCATGAGAGAGAAAGAGAGGACCCTGTTGATGAGATGGAGAGAGAGAGAGAGAGAGAGAGGTGGCTTTCCTAAATATTTGTATATATATTTGCTTTCAGAGCAACCGACAGGGGAAGAACGAACAGAGGTTGCTCCAAAAGTCGCGACTGCGGGAAAACGAAAGGATCCTTTATATAGAAGAAACCTCTCTAAGTCTGGGCCCTTTGTATACCAAGTCCGTAATGCTAATGGGCTGTCATATTAAGGCCCAACCATCAACTCAGATTGGGCTTTACAAGTCCGTTGAGATCTTGTAGGCTGCTGTGGTAAAAAATACAAGATGCGTATATTCGTGTTTCAGAATTGAAAATCCATGGAGTTTGTTCGAATTTTAGTGGAGTGGGACGCAATGTAACGTAGCTTCAGAAATCGAAAAGAAAGGATAAATAAAATAAGGAAAGAGATAAGAAAGGAGGAAAAAATAAGAAAATAAACTTATGTTCATGTTTCTAATGAAAAGTCTGTATAAGCTATTTACTTATTTATTTATACTGGAAACAAATCCAAGACTTTGAGAGTTATCTTGAAACCTCCCACTCATCCGGGTCACCCCTCGGTTCCTAAGTTGTTTAAACCATAAATATAACTAAACAATTTCTAATTTGTCCTCTAACTGTCTACAAATGATATAGATTCTCGATTAATTAATGCTAGTATACTGATAAAACCGATAGTCCTTACCTCAAATTAATACATTTTATTTTATCATTGCAGGAGTAATATGGACAAATTTTCAAAACCACCCTATTTCCAAATTTAATTCCAAAAAAGACCCATTTTGAAGTTAATTGCAAAAACCGACCTGGTTTCAGCCTCAGCCTTGGCGCTGAAACCAGGTCGGTTTTTGTGAAAAAGCTTCCGAAACTTCACGGGAGTTGAACTCCCGTGAAGTTTAGCAAATCTGCTAAACTTCACGGGAGTTCAACTCCCGTGAAGTTTATAGTTCAAAAAAAAATTTTGAACTATAAACTTCACGGGAGTTGAACTCCCGTGAAGTTTAGCAGATTTACTAAACTTCACGGGAGTTCAACTCCCGTGAAGTTTCGGAGAAAATTTTTCAAAAACCGACCTGGTTTCAGCGCCAATGCTGAAACCAGGTCGGTTTTTACAATTAACTTCAAAATGGGTCTTTTTTTGGGATTAAATGTGAAAATAGGGTGGTTTTGAAAATTCGTCCGGAGTAATATTGTGTAATTAAAATCACCTTTAAAATAATAGGTCAAATCCATAGGTTTCAAAGTTTTTTTTTACATAGAAATTATCCTATATGTGAGATTAGCTTTCAATGAACCACTTGAGGGCAACTAAATTTTATTTTATTTTAAATATCAAAAATACCCTCTTCCCTCACTACCCCTATCTCATTTTTCAATGAACCACTTAAGGGCAACTCATTTTAATCATCCTCCGCACAAACAGCGAGTAAGATGGGAGAAGAGGAGGGAAGATATTGAGATAGGACGAAAGAGGATGGAATTGGAGAGTGGGTGAAAGAGAATGGAGGAAGGTAGGGATGAAATGGAGAAGCGAGAAGATGCGGTGGAGGAGGAAGGAGCATGAGTGAAGGAGAAGTAGAACAGAGGAGGAGAAGGATGGATAAGAAGGGAGAAGAAAAGGAGGATGGATGTTGGGAGAGCCGGGAGGGGTATTTTGGATAGTTAAGGTAAATATCGAACAAAAAATATTCTAAAGAGGTTGATTGGAAAAATAAACATGTTCATAAGGTAGGTTTTGTATAGAAGAAACTTTGGAGGTAGTCCATCCGATTTGACCTTATTCTTATAGGTGGTTGTATGAAAAAAGACCCTGACTAAAAGTGATGTTAATTAGGATAGTCTATTCAGATGTTCAAATGATATATCAATTTTGTACGATTTTAAGATGACATTTATAATGTATATAGATCTTAAAGTTAAGAAGATTTCCTAATAAAATCTCGAAGCCAATAGGGTGGTCAGATATAACCTCTATACGTAAAGGGTTTGTCTGGTTATTGTCCAAAGTTGAGATAGTTTTCTGAATTTAGTTTCAATGAAATGTATGAGCTAATCATTTACTACTAGTGTTTTAGTTCGTGCTAAGCACGGTCTTATCGCAATTCATCTATATTTCGTATCATTTCAATCACTCTTATCCGAATATAATTTTAAAGATCTAACGTGAACCCCACTCTCACTCACCCTCTATTGAGGTTAGATAACATGTACCCGCCTAAAAATAATGATATTAAACAACTTTTATAAAACTATAATAAAATTTAAGTTCATTTAAACTAAATTTTTTTATAAAAAATGAATAAAATGAAGATAATCAAAATATCCTAACTACAACTTGAATTAAATTAAGACATAAGACAGTTTAATGTTTAAAAAATATTATTCGCAAATGATGCGTGCGTCAAAAAAGTTCTCAATCAATCAAACAGTTATAGGATGTAATAAGCCAAATATAAAGAAAATATCTAATAATTTCTAATTATTTCTTTTCTCAATCTTAATCCTCTTCTTGAAAGTTGAAAGAGCTTGTTCTTTGTCCATTTCTGCAAAATAAAAAACATGTTTATTTAGTAAATTTAATATAAAATATATATATATATCAAGATTAATTAATGCATAAATAAAGCAACTTAATTGTATTCTTAATTTTTTTTTACTAGTTGTAGGTAGAGTTTTAAATGCAGAAGAGTCAAGTGTAGCAATAGGTGAAACATCTAAAATCTCATTTTTGCCTTTGTTATTAGTGGAGGATATCGGCGTGGATAAGTCTAGAATTAATTCAACAGATTGATTATCAATGGTACCATCTTAATTCTATTCAATTGGTTTCTCATCATGTGATAGTAATATGTTCGCCTTAGAAGAACATATTAATGATTTAATTTTTAAAATAATGAAACTAATATGAAAAGAGGATGATAGAAACACAAGAATAATTCAGTATGTGGCGAAGAAAAATACCCTCTCTAGATTATTATATGAAAACATTACAATCACTCTCTCACAATCTCACTAGAATCGAGAACAAACTCTCAATTCTCTCTAAACCCTCTCTTTATTAGAATATCTCTTTGATTACATCTAATTCATTAGAAACCCTAAACAATCACTTATATAGGTATAACAACATGGATGGAAAACTGGTAAATAACCAAGCCCAAACCCCACATGAATTCTTGCAAACAGAAACCCAAATGAACCAGGAAACCATCAATGAGTCGACTCATGTGCATATATGAGTCGACTCATGACACATGGGTCAACTCATGACAGGCATGAGTCAACTGGTCAGAAACTTTTGACAAAACGGCTGGGTTTCTTGAGTCGACTCATGACAGGCATGAGTCGACTCAACCTAATGAGTTGACTCATGTACATGTATGAGTTGACTCACGGGCTGAAAACTGGATGCTTCGATTCTTCGATTCGCTGTCTCGTTCCACGCTTTAACCTACGTTCCACTGTGTTGTTTTACACCTCTATTCTTAAGTTACCATAAGAATCATTTATCCTTAAGCTCACATGAGGATCGCTAAGTTTTAAAGATAAGATATACCCGTAACATGGGTCCCCCCCTTTAGAAACTTGAAGTCTCATTCAAGTTAGAATTTCAACTGAGGAAACTCGCGAGCTCCTCCATCCTTTCTGTATCACATGCCTTTGCTAGGAACCTGATATCAACGTACAACTAGAAATGACTCCTTCGTTCCTCGCCTCATCGTAGTCGTCTTCCGCTCCAACACGCAACCCCTTTTCGATGGCTCGTCATGAAGTCTAATGCATAGCGAGATGAACTTTTTGCTTGCATTCACTAGCCTCTTTGTTCGCGTCAGGAAGAGACGCCGAACGAAATATGAACTTTTCACCATCTTTGGTGAATGTGTACTTCTGAGCCCGCCTTTTATAGATCGTGTATCTATCCTATAAGTACGGATTGCCCAGTATAACCTGACAAACATCCAATGGAACGACGTCGCACGTGACCTCGTTAATATACGACTCATGGAGCACAAATCTGACAGTGTATTGATCAACTACACTTAGTCTTGTCTCCTTTTGAATACACCCCAATGGATAGGGTTTCAGATACTTGCCTGTCTTCAGACCCAGCTTCTGAACCAAAGCCTCGGATATCAAATTCTTTTTGCTGCCTGGATCAACAATGACATCAACCAAACTGGTCTTCACTTGCAACTTCAGCACAAAGAGCTACTCTCGGGGGTCTTCGTCCATTTTCGTGACCTGTTTCTCTGCCATAAGATTAAGACTACTGTTGGGCTTTGTCATCCCAGGAACTTCCTTCGGACCCTGTGCTATCACACATGCCTTTTTCTCCTATTTCTTCTTCAACCCCTTTGGTTTCAGATGAGGATACTTCTCTCAGCATCGATCAGCGATATGTCTTATCTTCTTGCAGTGATTACAAATCAGTTCTGCTCTCCCTGGATCACCCTTCTTCTCGTCCTTATGTTTGGAACCACTAGACTCACCTCCCGTCTATTTTACATCTCCTTTTGCCTCGTTCTTCTTCTTTTGGTTGCCCTCGATGGCAATAGCTTTCACGTTTACCTCTGCAATAGACTCGACCGTGAATAACTTCATCTCCTTCCGAATGTATTCATTCAGACCCGCCATGTAATTCATGAAGATGGAGTATTCGTCCGTCGTGATGTTTAGAACCATCGCCTACTGCTGGAACTCCATCATGTTGTGACACCCCAGAGTTCACATAAGGCTGCAGTCTCAGGTGAAACCCGGATTGTCAAACCTGTCAAGCTCCAAACACTATGCTACGATATGTTTCATCATCACAATCATTATCTCTCTAGTAGAAACAATAAATAGATGAAGGTACAGACAGGTAAATAATCGAAATCGAACAACACTAAAAATATACATAGAAGAAGCATAAGAAATATTAATAATGAGCCCAACTGGAATAAAGTAGATATATCTCTGAGTCTGAACCGAATCTTAAATACAATGAGTCAAATAAACAAAGTCTTATAATAACTCTC